TATCACCTTTCGTCCGTTGGCTTGACGTCATACATTTTTAGTGACGCAAGTGTTAATTTTTCAACGACACGATCTTGCTCTCTCCTTTGAGTTCCTATTATAGAATGTGGAAATATGTCATTGTACGTGTATTCCTTTTTTCTTTAAAAAAAATAGTAATAACCATTTTCACGTTACTTCCGGAACTCCCTGGAATATGCGTGAATTCTCTTTTTGTGTGTATGTTTGTGTATGTGTGTGTGTATGCTTGTGTGTTTGTGTGTGTGCGTGTGTGTATGCGTGTGTGTTTGTGTGTGTGTGTGTGTGTGTGTGTGTTTGCTTGTGCGTGTGCGTGTATGTGTATGTGTGTGTTATTAAAAAGTAATGAAAAGTAATTACTATTCGTAATATTATGGTTAATCTGAGCTCTTATTTTTTCAGCCTGACTGCACAGACTCCGATTTTCTATTACTTGGAGAAGCACTAGCAGAGGCACCCACTTCCTCAGTTGCCTCCATTTTACGTCTTGGTAAGTGAATCGTCTCTATTCCGTTGTTCCAGCGTCCTCGGTGTATTGGTTCGGAGCTTTGCTGTTGCACGCAAGAGACCTGAGTTCGATTCCTGAGTGGGGAAAAGGTTTCTCGAGTATCTTGATCTTTTTGCTGGCATGATGTTGTGTCATACCCGTACAGTTGAATAATGTGGAAGGCAGGGGGTTGGATATTGCCCTTTGGTAGATTCTTCTTCTTCATTGTCTGTCTTACTTTTTCCTAGCACTACATGGTCGTTATTATGTCGGCGTGCTTCTCTCTACCCGATCAGAAGACGAAATGTCCCCTTTTATCTTTAAAAAAAGTGGAACTTTTTATTCTCAATAACCTTAAAAAAACGTATTTAAAAAAGAAATAATTTTGAAAAATAATATTAATTAAAACATAAAACAAAATAAATATATATTATACACACGTATGGCATGGTTAGTACCTGTTCGATTTTAGTAGAGTAACTTTGTAACAGAAAAAAGCTACTCGTGTAGCTGAAAAAAATTTTGAGTTTTTTTTGGTTTTTTTGCTTTTGGGTAGGGAAAGTGTCTTTTCTTTTTGGAAGGGGTAGGATGTCACAATGGTGTATATGTGTGTGTGTGTGTGTGTGTGAAAGAGTGTGTGTGTGTGTGTGTGTGTGTGTG